ACCGCCATCCCCGGCCACGACTGCCCAGCGGAGTCCCCCGAATTGCAGTGGCTATGCCTGTGCTGACACATCCAGGGACAGCATCCACTCTGGCTTCTTGCTGGTTCTAGAGTCCTAGCCATGCAGGAGGTGCGCGGGTGGGTGCTTCCCAAATCTTACTCCTTCTTCAAACTGAAATGAAATCCTTCTGGCCCAGGTAGCCTCCCCAGCCTCCGAGACAAAACAATCCACTTCCTGGCACCTGGGGAGTGCTCAGGAAACTCCACTCACATAACATTTCTCTGCAAAGGCTTTGTCCTTTGCCTGTCGCCTGGGCTGGTCTAAGACCCCTTCCTGGTCTCCCTGCCCCTAGTCACCAGGACGGTCCATGCGAATGGCCACAGCTGCTTACTCAAGCAGAGTCTGGGCTGGCCTCTTGACTTACTTTGACAATAAAATATGGCAGGAGCAATGGTGTGCCAGCTTTCAGCTCCCTGGTTCAGGGAAGTGTTGAGGGTTCAAATCGGTTCTGAGATGGGCCCAGAGAACAAAGACCCCTAGTCCTCCTGGCTTCCCTCCTCCTCTGCCTGGCAGCAGAAGGGTACGTTGGTGGCCACTTGCTGGCTACAGCGCCCATATTCTATGGGGTGCCAAAAAAAGTATACAACTGGACACTTTGGTCAACGTTGCTCAAGCAGTAGTTCGCCATCATTAGAAATATCTGGACGCTGATCATAACCACTTTGAGCACCTCTTGTAATTGTAGAAGCCAAAGGTGACATATTCATCTTTTGTTATTGTTATATATTGGGTATTACAATTTCAATACAGCTTGCCCTGCTTAAAATGTGTATACATTTTTTTGGCACCCTCTGTATTTTGAGCAGCTTCTTCTGTCAGGCCGGAGAAGTGGAGCAACAACCTGGCGTAGGCAGAAAAGCTTGCTTGACAGAATACCTTAGCTGCTCAGCTAGCTGAGAGGTGCCTCTGTGAATGCCAATGCCAGGTCTGTCTGTCCTCACCCTGCAAGACCTGAGTCCTTAGCTTGAGCCCAAGGGAGTAACTGATCTCAGCCCAAGTTACGTGAATCTGGGCCATGAGATGTAGGCAGTCATCTGGGTGGGGTTCTAAGAAAGCTCCTCTTCTCCAGAGTGAAGAAAACAGACTCAGCTGGCCTTTCCCCTTTCCTTTTCTCTTTATTGCCCTCCTTTCTGCCTGAAAGGTGAGCAAGATGTCTGCAGGTGGATTTTCCATGTTTTCTCTGTGAGCATGAGAACCACATGTTATGGATGGCAGAACAGGGAGCCAGAAGCTGTCCAAATTCTTGAGGACTTTCTTAAGCATCTCCAGGGACATCCCAGGCTTCTGTGCATGTCCAGCTGGGGGCCCTCACTAAAGTCTTCCTGAATCAAGAACACCTTGTCATCCTGACATGTATATGTGTAACCTCTTTGCTTCTTGATAGTGAGCCCAGGTGGAAACTGCATCTGGCATAAAAACCAGAGAGCATGGTCTTGGGGTATGTTTGCAGAAAGCCAGCAAAGGTGCTTTCTCTGGGAGACAGAAGGACTCTGTTCAAGATGAACTCTCTCTTACTATGTGACCTGGGGCCACATATATTAAATATATATAAATGCATATACACACACACATATTTAAGCAACTGTATGCATACATACATGCATGTGTATGTACAGATTACATATATGTATATAAAGAAGGTGTTGGCACTAGTTGAGGACCCATGCCCCTACCAGCTGGGCCATGTCATGCCTGTACAGCTAGGGACCAGGGGAGAGGGTGTACCAGAGTGAGTAAGAGCACAGACTGGAACCAGACTTCCTGGGTTCAAATCCCACTCTCACTAGTAAGTTATTTCATCTCTCAGTTTTCCCCACTTGGAAATGGGGATGATGCTACTGCCTTATGGACTCATTTGGAGGACTCAGGGAGTTGCAATCTGCAAAGCACTAGGGAGAGCAACTGGCACAGGACACGCCCGTGTTTGCTCATTGAACGTCAGCTCAGGGCGTTGGCCTTGTCCAAGGTGCTGATGCTAAGGGCTCGGTCCTGGGAATCCATGGCCTGCGAGACAGGGACGGCCCCATTCGCTCTTTGAACAAAGTCAGGTACTCCTTGCACCCTGTTTCCCTTCCAATTCCCCCCAGTTTCCAGTGGGGCCCTCTATAAATTTAATTGCCTCGCTAATAATTCTAATCTTGGCTCTGACGCTCCCTGATCTGGCATGCGGCTCATCTGGAATGTCAGTGTCGCAATGTCCTTCCGCACCTCTGAAGTGGGTGTGCCTCCAGTGTCAGCCCCACACTCTTCTTTCTCTCCACTCATCGGGCATTGTTCCTATCAAGTGACTGGAGATGGGGTCAGGGTTTAATGGCAACTACCAGAGCAGTTTGGGGGCTGTGGTGCAGGAACAGAAAAATAGCAGCATCCTGGGAAGGGGCTTGGGGTGGGCAGCAGGCAGGTGTCCTGCTGTTGGGCTGACCGTGGCACCAGCCCCACTGTGATCAGGGGCTGGGCTTGCTTCAGGCCTCAACTCTTCTGCCCATCCTAGGCTGGGACTCTGGGCTAGAGCTTGAAGCTGCAAGGAGTGTGGGGGCTGCCCCCCCACCCCCGATAAGAAGCCATTCTCCTGTAAAAACCATGGATCTGTGGTCCTGGGTATGCCCAGGCCATGGCACTTGCTGGGGCCTTCTCTGGGGACAAAGATGGCCTCCCTTGATTTCTTGCAGCCCGAGCCCTTACCTCATACCCTGCTAGCCTGGCCCAGCTCATGCCCTCCCAGGCCGGAGGCTGACAGAACCAGTAGCTGATAAACAGGATGCCAAGAGCCAGGTAGTTGCCAGCTCTTTCAGGAGTCTCTAGTCATCACAATTCTGTCTCCTCCTCCTCTGGGTCACAGCTGAGGTCAGGGCCTGCCTGACGCATGGCCCAGGTGGAGAAGTGTGCCCTTGCCAGCGGCCTAATGAGGGCTGACAGCGGAGGGGGTATGGGGCAGACAGCCCTTGCAGGAGCTTGGCTGCTGCCTGGCAGGGCCCGTTGAGGCGGCTATTTCTCAAAGCTTGAAATTTCTGCCCAGGGCCCAGGGACACTCGGATTTAGCTACTCAGATCCAAATTCAAACCTCAGGGATGCCGTCCTAAGGAAGAGACAAGGGAACAGAGACACTGTTTTGGCTGCATGAAAACATAGGAGTAGCTAGGCTGCCTTTGAAATGGGTGCAGGTGGGTGTCATGAGGTGCCTTTCCCAAGTGTAGATGATAACCTGAGGCAAAGGGAGGGAAGAACTTTGCCCAACTTTTCACATTGTGCGTGGCGAGACCAGGTGTGGACCCGGAGAGGTTGCTCTCAGGGCATAGCACCATGTCTGACCCTCCTGACAATTCTCTCATGCAGTCTTTTTTTTTTTTAATTGGGGAACAATGTGTTTTTCCAGGACCCATCAGCTCCAAGTCAAGTAGTTTTTCAGTCTAGTTGTGGAGGGTGCATCTCAGTGGCCCCATGTGGGGATTGAACCGGCAACCTTGGTGTTATGAGCACTGCACTCTAACCACCTGAGCTAACCGGCTGCCCCGACTCTAAGCTGCGTAGTTGTTTCATTCTTAATCCCACCCTTCAGAAACAAGAGCGCCTCAGAGTGTAACAGCAAAATTTGGTAGATCAACAATGTAATTAAACTTAGCTAGTTCGCAGTTTGAGCCATCCTGATATTCAGGTGTTTTCTGTTTGTGTCTCCTCCCACTGATTAATTGAAGAACTCTGTTCCCTTTTTCAAGGCTACCCAACCTCATTAGTTAACAAACATCCTCACCTGAAAAAAGCAGCGTCTTTAACCCTCAGGCGCCCATGATCACAACTCCCTAGCACTTTTTCAGCAGATGACTACGGACAATAAGATTTAAGAGAACACTGAGGCCTCAGAAGACACCAGGAGACGACTTCTCAATTATTAGCCCAGAGGTCTGCTTTCCTCTGTTCTTCCCCATTTACCTGCCTATAAAACCTTCTGACTGGTCTGGGAACAGGAGGCGGCCTTTGGACAGGAGTCCACCGTCTTCCCAGAATGCCGGCATTCGGCATAAACCTGCTTTTCTTTCCACCAACCATGTCTCTCGATTTTTAACTTCTAACTTTTGCAAATGGCAGGCAGCTGGCACAGTGTCAAGAGGGTTCCCCTGCAGTGGGATCCAAAGCTAGGTTGAGTCTGACTCCAAACCCTTTGCTCTTTCCACCAAATCAGGGCAAACCACAGACCACAGGCCAACTCCAGCCCGCCACCTGTTTTCTAAATACAGTAGCTTTCATGCTACAACCGCAGATTAAATAGTTGTGACAGACATTTGTATAGAAAATGTTTGCCAACCCCTGCACTGAGCCTGTGGGATAAGGAAAGGCAGCAGCTCCCACCTCTATCAGTGTCTGCCTAGAAAGGTAGTCGTTCACATCTTAGTGTGAATTAGTCATCACTGTGCTAGCTCCCCGATAGTTCATTTCCAGAAAACACCAAACATAATGAGGGGAACATGGATTTTGTCCTTCAGTGGCCGTGTGACCGTGGGTGGGTCATTTCTTAATTTCCTCATCTGTCCAGTGGGTACCTTGTTTTTTGTGCTGCCTAGCTTGCAGGATGATTGTTCGGAACACAAATGACATATTTGATGTGGGGTGGGTTAAAATGAAAAGTCATCATCATGCAGGGTGATGGAGAAATTCAGCCCTGGAAATTAAAAAGCAAAACTAGATAACTAAACTGGTGTCACATGGTATCCACTTTCTATTTAAATAAAAATGTGTCAATCTCAAAGCTAGGATTATAGATTTAACCACCTTCAGTCTCCAGCATCATAGGTTACAAAAATAGTTACTTGGGTGAAAGGTGGGCCACTATGACCAGAAGCTCTTCTTTACTAGCTGGAGGATGATCATAGACAAAACTATTTGCCCTACGTAATTTGTAGCGTTTTACCTTCATGGCAGAAAGGACTCCACTACCAGATACAGGGCACAGGAAATATCCTTTATTATTCTGTACAGTTATTTTTCCATGAAGAGAACAGCCTGTAATATAAATCCACACCAGACATAGAAATCTGCATGACATTGGAACAGTCCATGACACAGAGGGCACCATTGAAACAGTCCTTATTTACACAGAAGTGGAGAAACAGAGGAATGAGGGTGGGTACCCCAAGATCAAGTTCACATGCACCAGTATTTTGGTGACTTGATTGCAGCAGCAGTTTTGCTGCCTATCTGCAGACCTGGGACTTACAAGGGCATGACAATGTGTTTCCTTCAAAACCCTCAAAACAAAAGAGTTGGACTTTATTTTTTAAATATTAAGTGTTTCTGGCATCAGTTGAAGAAATATTGGAGAAAGTGGAAGTACTGAATGTCCAAAAATTTCAAAGTTCTGGAGGCCAGAAATCTGTGATTTCCCTGCTCCATAGATTATTAGTCACCAGATCATTCTGGAAAGTTCTGTCGTAAATGATGTGCTTCCTTCGTTGTAAATGTAGCATGAGAACATTGTCGTGGAGACATTAATTTTTTTTCCCAACTAGATGGACCTTTGATGATCTGATCCAACCCCTGCTTTTACAAACAAAGAGCTATGAAGTTCAAAGAGATGAAGCCACTCTCACCAGGAACCCAGCTAGTCAGCTGCAGACCCAGGTCTGTGCAGCTCTAAATGCTGTGCTGTTTCCACTGCACCACACTCCCTCCCTGTTCTCCATTCCATGGCTTTCAGAAGAAATAAACGAAACAAACGAAATGAGCGTGGTGGGCTTCTTTACTAAGAAATGATTTCTTTGGTAAGAATGCTTCGGTCTCACAAAATGGATCATACAGCAACAGACTGGCGCCCACCTGGGCAGGAAGCCCCTCTGAGAATTAAGGCAGCTTTGGGGACTTTTATTCAGCAGGATATTGGCAAAGGGCTGCTCCTTCTCTTCTCACATTGCCTCTAGAATGAAGACCGACTAACAGGTGGACGCTCACTAACTAGACACTGAGTAGGTATTAACGTGATGGTCTTAAACAGATATTTTACATTTCATGGAAAATAATTCTCTAAAATTCTGGTAAAATATCAAAAGTGCATTGAACAGTACACAGGAGCCCCCTTATCCCGGGTAACCTCTGCTACTAAAAAAAAAGCTGGAAAAAGGAAATCAAACATTACTTATGATAAAGCGTGACTCCCTCTACATTAAGCGTGGTTGGAAGATGAACCCAGAGGTGTCCCAGCACCTCCACGAGAACTTCCAAGGGCTTCTGGGGTCCCCCCTCCTCCCCAGGGACCCTGCGCTTGGGGCCAGTTTCCCTCCACCCCAGGCTCAGGAGCCAACTTCCGCCACAAGGCAGCACCGTTGCGTTGGTTTGGTGTTGGTTCAGCTAGCACCACGTCTCTGATTTGCCTTTGGCACAAATGACGAGGCAACAAGGGCCGCCTGGCAGAGAGAAAGCCGCAGGCTCTCTCAGAAGTGTGTCCCTGTCCTAACGCACGTGTTTCCCTGACCCTCTGCTCTCGTCTCAGCCAAGCAGACTCGGCTTTTCATGTCCCACTGTTCCAGGGTGATTACTTTCATCCAAAGAGAGCAGCTAAAATCATTTCCACTCTGGCAACCAGCTAGAGGAGAATAAATTACATCCTCTCCCCTCTCCCCTTCTTCCAACACATTGTTCTTTGTTAAGAAATACTCCTTGGCCTCTTCGCTGCATTTTTGTTTATTTTTAAGGACAGCCCTGGGTGGGGTGAACAATTCTGGGCAGGGAATTTCAAAGTGCTGTGGGCTGAGAGTCAGGACATCTGACTTGAAGGTCTGACTAGATCCCTTAGCAGCTGAGACACTGAAGTGTTGGGCCTTGGTTTCCTCACCTGGGACATGGGGAGACAGAAGCCAGCCCTGCAGTCTTCGCTGGGGAGATGGGAGGCAACAACGTGCTTTGTTAAAAACAAAATTGTAACAGCTAGAGAGGAACTATCCTTTCTGGGAGATTCAAAGTCACTTACAGGGCCAGGTTTTATCAGTGACAGGCCGCCCTGTTCTCATCTCCCGACCCCCACTTTATTGTTCTACTCCTGTGGACGCTCCCAGGCCCCATCTGACACTTGGGCTGCCTCAGTCTTTGAGGTGGCCTTTTTATATGGAAAGCTCAAAAAAGTCTCCTGATTTCCCTCTTTACTTCAAAGAATGACCCAAGGGCCCCGATTCAGCAGAAAGTCATCTTCCTGCCCCGAGCTGGCCCTCACATAACCTTCTCCCACGGACAGCACGATCCGATCGACGGATCAGTGGGGCTCAGTGACACCCAAGTTTTATGCAAAGCACCTTCTGATTGTATGTCTCCGTACACTCCCACTGTAAGTGAGGTGGCCTCTTTTCCCCCCCAGGATTCTGCAACAGGGGCTCCCACATTCACAATAAAAACCCACAAGTCTAGATTTACAACGAGATCATGAGACTCAAACCATAAACGGAAACCCTAAATAGATGCCACCAACTCTCCGAGTGGGCTGAAATTAACCATCACTACCACCAGAGGGCACCACTTGGGAGTCTGTATCAGAAGTCAAGCTATTAGAAACCACCACCGACCTGTTCTATCAGCTCAGACTATTGTCCCCTCAACCTCAGTGACTAGGTTCTATGTGCTTAGTTCCACACTGCCCTGGAAGGTGTCAAGCCTAGTCCATGATGGAAGACAAAGGGAGCTTTCAGGGCCAACTCTTCATCGCTCAGGACCCCTGGTCCTTGCTGGCTGGGATTTCTAGGGAAAGACTTTGCAGGTGTCTGTCCGTGAATAGTACATTAATAAACAGCTTGTCAGGCTGCCCTTGGGCACCCAGCTGGTCCCACGAGGACAGCAGAAACACATCTGACCTCACTGGGTTCCCAGGAAGGTCTTCGGAGCCAAAGATGGGTTTCTGGGCTCCATGAGCCTGTCAGAGCGAGGCCCACATGGGGCCTCTAAGAGCTTTGAGCTTGTCTGGCATTTGTGTAAAAGCTGCTCACCGGGGCTCCCCTACATTCTCCCCTGTGACACCCATGGCTCTGCACCATCTGACCACCGGAAGCTGGAAGAATGTTCCAGGACACACAAATCAGACTCAGGTTGGCAAAAGTGAAACAGAACTAAGATGGTTTCTGCTCGCGACCCCCCAAAGCATTGCTCCGCAGACTTCACAACAGGGACAGGTGAACCCAAGCTCCCCGGCCATGGTTCAGACACCAGAGGGCTGACTAAGGGGAGGGGGCAGGAGGGGGAAGATCCGTGTACCCCCAAAAACCTCGGCCGGGCTTTTTGTTAGAGTTCGGTTTCATGGTGTCTGACCAAGAGCAACACCTTCCCTCCGACTGGGTGGACCGAGGATTTCTTCTTTGGCCCAAAGGACAAACAGACGTGGTGGGGAATTCTGCCCGAGCCTTGGACTCAGCTTGGGCCAGCTCTCAAAGTGGGTGAAACATCCCCAAAACAAAAGAGGTTCGACAGAAGTAATTTTTCCTGGGAAAACCAGATCCTGAAATCATTTGTAACTGGGACGAGAGGAAGAGGGTCGAGAAGAGCATCCGCCAGGAGAGGAATCCCAAGACAGCGTCCGGATGGTGGCGAAGCAGACGCTGTGGCCTGGCCGGTGGCGCGGCGGGGCTCCCCCTCGGGGCCAGGTTCAGATGGCCAGCCAGTGTTGCAACTGCAGGGAACAACCGCCAAGCCTTAATGTGAGGGCCGGGCCGCGCGGGGACGGGAGGACCAAGGGCCAGCTGAGAAGGGCGACAAGAAGCCCAGAGGAGGCAGAAAGCACCCCCCTCCCCTCCCTTCAAAGACCCCGGAGAACATGCAGGCTGAGTCCCTAGCTGTCACTGAGGCCCAGAAAGGAGCCTTCCCAAAGTCACACGGCAACTCTGAAGCAGGTGGCTCACTGGGACCGTCCTCCGTCCCCCGCCCTGGACGTTGTTTTAAGGGGAAAAAGGTAGGACTCCAGTTCGCCGAGTGACTGAGGTAGCTGCAGTGTTTCTTTCACGATAAGAAATCTTCAGCCTAGTTCGGTGACACCCCGTGGTGACCACTCATAGTGGGAGAATAGAGCTTAGCAAAGTTTGGGCATTTGGCACTCCAGGACCCTGGAGCAGAGAGGCAGGTGGACGATGGTAGAAGGCAGAGGACAGGCCCCTCCCCGGTTCCTAGCACCACACCCCTGTGGGCCACTGCCCACTGCTGCTCTGGGTTTTCTGGTGTGTAGCGCGTGGTCCTGCCTTGGGCATCCAGCTCACAGCAGGAGCAGCTCGGGCCCTCCCCACAGCCCCCACCCCGCATGGCTCAGGCTGCACCCACCTGGAACTGCCTGACATCCCTCTGGGCCACCAGGTGATGCTCGTTCTCTGGTGTGATGCTATAGGCCAGTCTCTGGAAGAGGATGGAGAAGCGGGAGGCCTTAGCTAGACGCAGGGACACCCTCCCTGGGGCCCCGCAGGCACCCCCAGATAAGGGCCACACACTACTTGGCCCTGAAGTCCCACATGGACAGTGTGTGAAAGTCCATACAAGGCACGCCCCACCCTGGTCGGTTCACTGTGAGTCATTCATCCAGCAAATGTTGATTGAGCCAACTGCTGCGGTCAGACCCTGGGGAGCCAGAGTTGAGGAGACCCACACAGTCTCTGCTCTGGGGGAGCTCAGGGCACATGGGAGGGACAGGCACTGAATAAATAAACAAACCACGATGGGAATGCGTCCTGCCTGGGGCGCAATGAGCACAGCAGGTGGGATGGGCCCGCGGGTCGGCCCCGCAGGTCTGGGCTGGACTCAAGGGACTGTGTCTGGAATCAGTGACTGATAACCAGCTGTGGGAAGTCCTCCCCGTTCCCCACATGTGCAGAGTAAGAAGCTGGAAGCGGGGCCTGGTTCCCATGTCTGGGATGAGCTCACAGAACACGAGTCCTCCAGGTGCCCCAGAGGCAGCTGGACTTGGGGTTTCACGGACCGTCACATGGAACTGGGGAAGTGGGGGACGACACAGCCCCGCCCGGGCCCTCTGCCCTAAGTTCCTGTGCAGCTCCCTCCCTTACATCCTCCTTTGTTCATCTGTCCCCTCGTTAGAACGTGAGCTCCAGGAACTTCTGCCTGGGCCCAGAATGCGGCCTGGGCCGTGCAGACCCCCAGCAGTGAGCTGTGGAGTGAGTGGACAAAGCCATAAAGGAACAAAATCTGTATCCTGCAAAATGAGGATGTGAGGAAAAGGCCATCCGACTATTTATAAATGACGGGGCACTTTAACAACCACAGAGGAGGAAAGACGTAATTTCAGAGTGAAGGGCGCTATTTCCCCAATACTTATCCACATACGTGTGCATACGCAATGCATACAGGTAAGAGGAGAAAATACAGTTTGGGGATCTCTGGTTTAGGCTGATCAGGTTCAGGAAAGAGGCAGGTAAAAGCCAAGAGACCAGGTCACAGTGAGACCTGACAGGGAGAACTGGGACATAAAAGCTAAAAGGGTCACGGGACCAGGCCCACTGGCGGCCTTGTGCCTTACTCATCCCTAGGGGACTGGAGGGCTGAGCGGTACCTTCTCACATCGGTAGCAGTAGGAAGATACACTGCATGTGGCATGTAACACAATGGCAGGGCACGTGTGTCAAACGTCTCCCACCTGCCAGGCACCCGGCTAAACACGCTCTTTTCCCCTTCAAGGTCCATATTATTAGCCCCAGGTTACAAATGTAGAAACTGAGGTTCAGGGGGACATATGACTTGGCCAACGTGGTGGGTCTGTCTGACCCTGGTGTCCGTGTCCTTCTGTCGCTTCTCTTTCACCCCGACAGGAATGACTCAGATGTCCCCTCCCATGCTGTCCCCCACCCGCCCCCAGGCCGGCCCACAGCTTACCTCGCGGAGGGAGCCCCGCGTGCTGAGGAACTTGTAGATGATGTAGGCCGGTACCAGGATCATGGAGGACAGCGCGATGCCCCACCCGACCCAGTTGGCCCAGAGTGGGAAGATGTAGTCATCGTAGGTGAGCGGCTTGAAGTTGATGATGCTCACCACCACCACAAACTGGGGGGGGGGCAGCCAGAGGGGGGAAGCGGGAAGGAAGGCAGAGAAGAGAGACAAGGAGAAGGGAGGGAGGGAGAAAAGCAGGGAAGACCCGAGAGAAGTGCGGACGGAGCAGTGTGTGAGATGGATTACGGGGAGTGCGGACAAGGAAGGAGGGGGACAGGAGGAAGGATTCAGGAAGCGAATGATAACAAAAAGGAGACAAAGAGAGTGGGAGCGAGAAAAGAAGAGTCCTTGGAGCTGGGCTGCGGAGAGCCACACACAGCCCTCCCACCCCAGCCCGCTGCGGAGGTGGACGCCCACGACGGTGTCCACAGGCCTCCTGTACGACCAAGACTCTGCATCCCAGGACCTCCTCCCCTGAGAAGCAGACATGTCCACCGCACCCCCACCCGGCACATAGCCCCCTACCCCCCAACCCTCCGCCCAGGACGCCCCGGCGTCCCACACGCTACGCACCAGGAGGAAGGCTGGGCTGACAAACTTCCAGCACAGTCTCCAGTACAGGCCTGGCTTGAACCCCATCATCTGCTGGATGTCATTGCTGAACCTGTCCACACCTGCGCACACACAGGCAGGCTTGTCACCATGGCCCGCCCCCCCAGAGCTCCAGGCTGTCCCCTGCTGTCCTCCCACGAGGGTCTGGGCCCAGGCAGACAGCAGGGCAGTGAGGCAAGACAGTGACACCCTGGTACCTAGAAAACCTGGGGAGGGTCACTTGGCTGGTTCAGAACGAGGGAGAGGACACACTCAGGGATGGTGTCACCTATGTGCCACCCCAACGCATGTTTCAGAGGGACACGGGGCTCAGGAGGGGAGGGGACTCGTCCCGGGCTATCCTGCCAGGTCAGCCTGATTCCAGAGCCTGGAGTTCTCCTCTTGTTCACGCTCCTAAACAATGGCGGCACGGCACAGCCCTTGCCCTGACTTCGTTCTGGGAGAAGAGCGCAGACTCACACTGAAACCTCCTTCTGACTAGTAGAAAACCGTGGGAACAGGACTAACACTTGGATATGACACGTGGGGAAAAAAACAATCAGTGGCAGCACATGTGACACTTGGTAACACGTTCTCCTGTTCAGCTCCAGCGTCAGTGTGCCAGATAAAACACACTGCACCGGCTTATATTTGAATTTCAGACAGACAACGAAAAATACTTCAGTTTAAGGACGTCCCATGCACTATTTGGGACATATTTATACTGAAACAATTATGCGCTGTTTATCTGAAATTCAAGTGTAAGTGGGCGTCTTGTATTCTGTTTGCTAAATCGTGCATCCCAGCTCTAGAATGAGTTACATGGCTCAGGGAACAGCAGCTTCCTCTGAGCTCCTCTTTAAAAGCTGACAGTGGATGCCTTTGGGGCCTTTGCAGCCCCTGTTAAAGGGGGTTCATGCAAAGATGGGCTGAGGGCTGGGAGAGCCGCCCCGATAAAGAATTGGCTCAAGGCTGGAACCGGCCAGTGACTGCCTTGGAAATGGAAGCCCCTTTGCTGCCCAGGTGAAACGGCTCCCAGAGCACAGGGGGCCAAGGCTTTTCCACGCACTCGGGGCCCAGCACGCACCGTAAAACCAGGAGACCCCGATGGCTTCCATGAGCACAGCAAACAGAATGGAGGTCCCTGCTGCGAACGTGTCCAGCAGAGTCAGCACGTATATTCCACCCTGAGGCATGGAGGGAGAAAACCTGAGGCCATCTTGGCTGGAAATGGCCACCGGCTGTTACATCCATCACAACCTACCTGTCCAACCCCTGTCCCACTCGCTCAGAACCCAGTCTGAGAACGGGCTGTGTGTGGGGCTGCTGGATTGACGTTACATATTTGCATTTTAACAAAGGCCTCCCAGAGTCACGGGGTCTGAGGGTGGGTATTTCAGCTGGTAAAAAGTGAGATGGGCCTCAAAGGGGCTTTTGGTGCCCCTCAAACTAATACGCAGTTAACAGGGTTGCCTGGAGAGCCTCAGGCTTAAGAGGTGTGAGATGACAACGGGCTGGAAGCCAGGGAACCGGCCACAGGGCTGAGAATGCAGGTCCTGCCATGGTTCCCGAGCTCAACCTGGCCTTGCCCACCCCGGCTCCCAAGCTGCAAATGTCTGACTCATTGAAATGCAGCCCCACCAGCTCCAGGTGACCCAGAGCGCAGCCTTCTCTCACCTTGGTGATGCAAAACAGGGCCAGAAGGAAGGTCCCAAAGCTGACACCAAAGGTGAAGAGTTTCCGGTGGCGCTTCAGGACCTGGAAGTCGTCGGCCAGGCCGGTGATGATCGCCTCCATGCCTCCCATCTGAGGGAACCAGGCAGGGTAGGGAGCAGGAAGGAGGGGACCCCAGCACCTCAATCTCAGGCCCCAGGCTCCCTCAGACCTCCTGCAGCCTGGGACTCAGGCACCCCGGTGGCTGCCCTGACTCTCTTGAGAAATCTCACCTCACTTCTGCCATGTTCTCAACCAAACTCAGAACTCAGAAGCTACACGGGGAAGGGTGGAGCGTTAACTCTGTCTCCCACCAATGAACAGGTAGCTAGCTGTCTCCTGCCCCACTCACTCAGCCCCAGTGGGTACTGGGGAGCTGATAGGGGTAAAATGCCAAAACTCCCGTGTAATGTTTGCACGTAGATAAGGGCCTTCTGGAAACAGCTACCAAAGGAGGGCTTCTAGGGGCGGGAACTTCGGGCAGCAGCTCCTGACAAGGATTTTGCTGCCTTTCTCATTATCGAGCAAAGTGATCTCCTCAAACTCTGCTCTCAGAGTGTGAGAGGGCTGCCTAGTCTGCAGCTATGGGCATACTGATTCTTTATGGCCTCATATGAGTAATAATGATGTGTTTGCTTAAGTGATACTTCCAGGCTGGGGTGGCAGACAGGCAGCATATACGTGCCACCGCTAAGCCTCATGCACGCCTCCTCTACCCTTGGCAGGCATTGCTCATTAAAAGCAGTATTCCTTCCTAAGGGCTGGGAAGCAGCCTCAGAACCCTTCTTAACACACTGCTCCGGGCAGATCTACCAATTGAAAAGAAAAGGCAGTGAGAGGAAACCTATCTGCCAGTCCCACTCTATGACTTCTTGCAGACTTGCAGGCATGGTATACTAACGGTGGACATAGACATAAAAAGAGGCCAGTGAATCGAATCTTCCATGTGGGTGAAACAAAAGCTTCTGAGACACACATGAGGCTCAGTGTGTTTTCGTGGGTTGTTGATGATGGAATACAATGGGAAGAGTGCTTGGCCATCCGCGCCCTCTCTGAATTCAGTTTCCCCATCGGCAGGAGGAGAGTATGGGGTTGGCTATCTGAGGTCCCTGTGGTGTGGGTTTCCACGATGCCAATGGGTTTCTATTGGCTCTTGGCTTTGACCTAAGTCTCACTTTTTTTGAGTGAGGACTCACTTCCTTGTTTGCATTTAAATAGAATCTCCTGGAAACAACTGTTAATCAGTGGTTCCAACGGTGGGAACTTTCTGCTGAGTAGTGTGTGTGGACGTGGTGCGGGGAGGTCAGGCCCACAGATGTGTGTGTGTGGGACGGGGGGTGAGGACATCCTGAGCAGGGTCACTCACGGAGCTGTCAATTCCCAGAGCCAGGAGCATGATGAAGAACACGACGGCCCAGAACGTGGATCCCGACAGGGTGGAAATGGCTTCTGGGTACAGGATGAAGACTAGACCGGCCCCTGTAAGAACCATCACAGACCTCATCAGTGGCTGGGACTGTCGGTCTGAGCAGTAGGTGACAGAGAGCACCCTGAGGCCCAATCAGCCCCAGCTCAGTGCATGGCACTTGGTTGGTTCTGGGTGGACAGAGAGAACCAAGGAGCTGATGATGACAGACAAAGCCAGCGGCAGCTTGCAGCTCACATACACACCAGCGAGGCTGACCTCCAGCAGTCAGACAGAGAGCAGTGCCTCGCGGGGACAGCTACGGGCTATGTGCTGTGAACCCCACCTCTCAAAAGCCTGTGGTCCTCAGAGTCCATCAGAGGTAGCCCCTCCCCAGGTATCAGCTTCTTTGTGGCCATAAGAATATGGGAAGAAGAGGGGAGGAAGTTGGATGGGTCAGGCCTTGAGTGCAGCCACCGCTGCTTACGTACTAGCCGGGTGACCTTGGGCAACTTACATAGCCTAAGTCTCAGCGGTCTCATCTTTTATGAGGTTGTCGGAAAAGTCATGAGGTATTTTTTTCTGTTTTTTGTCGCAAAAATGCGTCATGACTTTTCCAACAACCCAATAAATGGGACTATTCTCACAAGCTCACTTGTGAGAACTAAACGAAGGTATGTCAAGTGCTCAGCATGGGGCTGGCACAGAGTGGACGCTCCAAAATCTGTCCTGCCCAGCCAGTCTCAGAGGAAAGTTGTTATACACTCAGGGCCCCAGTGCTGCCTGGAATTCCCACCAACAGACTCAAAAAGGGTCCATCACATGGGCGGTTTAGAAACCTCTGTGTCCCACCCACTCAGTCCCACAGCCACTGGAGACCCGTGCGGCCATAAATGGGGTGGGTTTCTCAGCCCTCTCTTCCTCAGTGGGCTGGGTCTGCCCACCCACCTTCAGTGGCCACATCCTCGATGTTGACCTTGTGTTCGTGGGCCATGTAACCAAGGATGGAGAAGATGGCAAACCCAGACACGAAGCTGGTGACACAGTTGATGGTGCTGGTCAGCAGGGCGTCCCTGGGGGAGACAAGCACTGTGAGTTCAAGTCACCTGACTGACTCCCCCACCCTGCTCATCAACAGCGGTACCATCTCTGGGATCCGCAACTTCAAACGCCTTCCGTTTCCTTGCTGCCCCATGGAGCCCAGTGCCCTCCCATAACTGGTCAGGAAATAGATCAACAACTTCTGGAGGAAACACCTTGAGTCCAGAGTCTGGTATCAAATTCTTGTTGGGAAATTGAGTCACCAGCCTCTCTCTCCAACAAACTTTCCGTGGCTCCCCAGTGCCTCTCAACTTCTTCCACCCAGGCGTGCAAGAGCTTTGCTAAGATGACCCAACCTTAATTCCAGGCTCATTTGCCATGAGTCCCTAACATGCACTCTTTGAATAAACTAAACCAGTCAGCTTGCTGGCCCACAACCAAATCACCTCCCTGGCTTGGCTGGTGCTGTCCCCCGCCATGTGTGTCATCCATTCCATGTCCGTCTGTCACAGTCTTAACTATCCTCCAAGGCTCACCTCAGGCTCATCTCCACGAACTGGCTAATCCCCCATCAGAGGGCTGGTCACCCCATTTCCTTAGCCTTCTTGGAGTCTGCCCCACTGCTGTGCATCCATCCTACTTTGTCTTGTACCAGAGGGGTGTGATTCTGTTGTAAGCCTCTGACAGAGAGTGATAAAGGGAGGCCCAGTTTGTGCCCTCACAGCCCTCGGTGGGCAGGAGGCAGCACTGAGTGCTTACTGAAGCACCCAGAGCGTGGTCTTCGACTGCTGCCCTGTGCAGCCCTCTCAACACGCCCTGTGGTCTTACCTCTGACTCTGCGAGGCCCCCAGCCTGGATATTCCATCCTTGCCTGTCTGGGCATCGGATGAACAGAGGAGTAGTGCTGCCTGCTCTGAAAGCCACACAGGGCCCCTCTGTCCCAGCTACCCACCCCTATGATGTCCCAGCACTAGTGGCCTCAATGTTCCTATCCCCTCACCTTGCGTCTGTTTAAGAGGTGCCCTGCATTGAAATGAGTTCATCGGGACCCCCACAGGGCATGTCAGAGTTCACAGAATGTTCAGGATGGTGTCTCATTTCACAGAGGAAGAAACGCAAGAAGAAAAGTTGACTTGTCCCAGACCAGAGCCCTCTGTCCCATCCCTGCAAGGATCAATCCCCAGGATGTAGGGCTTTCCAGAGCCCTGAGAAGGATCTTACCTGTAGCAGTTGTTGTCAAATTTGTTGTAACTGGCAAATGCAATCAAGACTCCAAATCCGGCCCCCAAGGAGAAAAATATCTGAGTTGCAGCATCAATCCATACCTGAGATGGGCAGACAAATCCATCACCTTCTGCTTCCTCGAGAATGGGACCACCTCACTGCTCCGGAAGGGCTGGGACACCCCAGAGACGCTCAGACCCAAGGAAACGAGGTCTGAGCCTGAAACGGCAGCCATGCAACTCCTTTCCCACCCCCAGAAGCCTGTGCAAAGGAGAGAGGCTGGGGTCTCCCTAGCATCTCCCAGCTTTGAGTGGTCATGAGTGAGCTCACCCTGGAGGAACTTACTGGCTCAATTTGATGTCTTGATTAGCCAAGAAAGTTAATAAACTAACAGTTCTAAGTTAGAACGTGAATGGAGTGAAGGCAAAGGGTTAAGACTCTCAGAGTTACGGAGATGACAACTTCAGAAAGGGATGTGATTTCTAGAAGCTTCTAGTAGCCCACACAGTGGTGACTCTTGGGGGCCAATGGGGTTTACTTATTCCATCTTTTGGGTGATGAAAGCTCATGGCTGGAAGCCCGGAGATATGAGCTCCTCTCCAACCTCTCTGCCTCATGGTCTGGGGCACCCTTTCCTCTTTGTATCTGTTTCCTCATCTGTATAGTGGGGATAATTACACCTAGCCCACCCAAACTAAGAGCTGCCATTTGGATTTGTGAGACTTCTGTTATCTCCCCACTCACATTATTCTAGTCTCTGCAACTTTGCAAGCTAGAGGATATAATGAGAAAGGCCATGTGATGGTGGGACATAGAGCTGTTTCCACTTGTCGGAAAGACATAGGATAGTTAAACATGTGCAGAACAAATACAAGTCTAACTTTTTACAAGGCTGATTCGTGCCTCATGCTCTGGTACCTTCCTGACAGCTGCTGAGAAAATAGGTTTTTCTCTTGGTTATGTGCTATAACACTGTGGTGCGTTGGACGTTATAACTAAGGGAGGTGCATACTGGGATACACCCCCCCCCCAGTCCTGTGTTGCCACGATCATGTTGGGTTCAAAGGGACTGTGAAGAAGCCTTTGGGAATTGTGAGGGAAAATGTTGCAGTGCTGTCACTGAGGTGGACCCGAGGGAGGAGGATGAAAACCATCTCAGCCATGATTTAAAGATGCTCAAGGCACTGGGTACCTCCCACTGCTTAGGGCTCCACTCCAAATTCACCCCCCTTCTTTGTAATCTGTGTCTCTGGGTGGCACAATGAGCTGGAGGGGGCCGTGTCATCACAGGATGGTGGCAAAGGCCAGGGGTGGGGACTAGAAAGTGGAAATTGGACTGGGGATAGGATTGGGGTGGCTGGGGTGGTTTGGGGGGCCATGGAACAGGGCAGGGATAGGGACCCAGGACAGCGTATTGCTCTCCTTGAAAAGAGGGATCTACGATGGACACCGAGTCCCAGACCATCGGAGCTGGACGGGCTCATGGAGACCCACAGGTGCAAATCCAGTCAGCATGGGCCCGGTGGAGAAGCTGCAGCCCGGAGAGGGAAGGCGCGTCCTAGGCTACGCTGAAAGTTTGGGGCAGGGCTGGGACCAGGTTTCCTATCACTGCCAGCCCCGGGAACCCTCCCGACCCTGGCCCGCGGGTGGATGGCCACTGAGCACTGACCGTGGCCTCTTTCAGGCGGTGGAAGTCAATGTGCAGGTAGGCGTTGATGCCGTTGGAGGCGCCGGGCAGCGTGATGCCGTGGACCAGGAGCACGAACAGCACTAAGTAAGGCAGCGTGGCCGTGATCCACACGACCTGGCAGTGGACAAGCTCGCTGTCAGAGCTTGGCCTCCCACGCTCCCCACCCCCCTACCCCCCGGCCTGGTGGAAGCTCGAGGTGAGGTTGGGGGGGGGTGCACAGGTCTCTCCTTCAGAGCCAGTCACGCCCTGCCTCCTGCCCCACACAGAGCACATGCTCCATCTCTTGGCCAGGCCTTGGGCCAGACTCCAGGACAGAGTGAACAGACCCTCAGGCAGCTCGGGACCCAGTGGGAGTCAGCCGCATGGGGCACAGCACTGCCATGAGAGCTAAGGGTGCGAGGACGAAGACCAGGTTCTCACAGCGCCTGACACCTCTTCCTCCACAAGCCGCCTCTCCTGCCGTTCAAGTTGTTCCAGGGAGAACTAAGCACACCCACCTGTATGCCCTCTTATCTTCCTCTCCCTCTCTACCCTCTGCCCTCATTCAAGCACATCTTCCTCTGCAGCTCAGTGCCTAAGCGGGGGCATGGCTAGGCAGAAATCGCTGACCTTTCTTCATCCTAGTGGAGATGTGTCTGCGGCATAGACGACTGCATTGTGCAGGAACCCGTAAAGGGAGAGATGATCTCCAGACTAAAACGAGTCCCCCCTCCCCGCATCCTACCCAAGGGGAGGAACAGGGAAGGAAGGCGGGGAGAGGGTGGGTTGTGTGCGCTTTCTCAATGTTCCTTCTCACCCTTGAGCACACACTAGAATACGCTGGGGGAAGTTATAGATAAAACTGTCGAAGTTCAGGTCCCATTTCTTGGAATTTCTGATTCACTTGGTCTGGGGTGGGGTCTGCACTTCAGTATGTTTTAAAAGCTCCCCCTGGTGATGTAAATGTGCAGTCAAGGTTAACAATCACTGCTGGAGGCAGATGCAGCCATGGGCAGCCTTGCAGAAAGAAGACGTACCCCCAGCAGAAAATCTGCTCAGAGTTGGGGTAACCAGCCCCAAGGGAGACTCAGTTACAACACAAGAGGGCACATGACTTAAGGACCAGGTGTCCCCACCTCCCAAGATCCTGACACTAGGCAGCTCCAAGAGTGGTCACTCATCCAGAGAGAAAAAACAGAAGCTCTGAAACATGTCTGAGGGTAAAGTTTAGATATGGGTTCAAAACAAAAATCGAGATGCAGAAAGTCAAGTCGGATGTTTTCCAGCTATGTCTAAGGACTGGGATTTATCCTCCTCATCTGTCTTTCCCACCAGACCAAAAGACCCTCAGAAGCAAAATCCCCATAGTTTTCAAACTTGTATCCCCAGCACACGGCACACATGGGTGCTTAAAAAAATGGTGGTTGGGTGAGTGGATGAATGACTTGACAGTTGTATAGATAAATGATTGGATTGATGAATAGATGGATTGGTGGATATGTGCATGGAGGGAAGGAAGGAAGGAAGGAAGGAAGGAAGGAAGGAAGGAAGGAAGGAAGGAAGGAAAGATGGAAGGAAAGATGGAAGGAAGGAAGGCTACATAGTTAGGTAGATGGTTAAGTGGATAGATGAATGGTTAGGTGAGTGCCTGGTTGAGTGTAGATAGATAAATATTAGATAGATGATGATAGATAGATAGATAGATAGATAGATAGATAGATGAGTGGGTCAGTGATAAATCAGGAGGTTAGTGAATAACTAAGTTAGTCAAAGAATGAGTAAAAGAGTAAGTAAATGAAAGAGCAAACGAGTCCAGGAGTAATTAAATGCATCAGTGGTTGGTCATATCTTGGGAGGGAATCGGCCAAGGAATCAGGCTCCTCTGTTCCATTGCTCTCTTGTTACATGACGGGCAGGCAGGGGGTGGGGGCTATGGTCTTTGCTCCTATGAGCTTTAGATTCTATTTTCTTTTCTTCTTTCAGGGGCCCAGGAACAAGGAAGACAAGTTGCAAAAAGCAAATGAGGAGGAAAACACGCCTTAGAAAGTGAAGTCATTGCATCTGGATGGCCTCACATTAATCCTGGATTTGTTTTCCCAAATTGGGACAAATGGGACACTCCATGGTGACAGGCACAAGGAGGAGCCCTCACATATCCTTTTTGGGTCCTAACTGCTGTGTTCCCCTACAACTCATGTTAACAGCTGCAGGCTCAGCAGGGCATAAAAAAAACCACCACTCCACCCATCAGAAAACAACATCCCCTGGTGTGACTCTAAGGAACCTCTCCTGGGGTTTGGAGAGGGTCCTGCACTGGCCCTGCCTGAGGCTCCACCGTGGCTTCAATTTCCCCAAGGAGCACATCAGGGCACAGCTGAGGTGACCCTGACTTCAGTCAAGCATCAAGAAAAGGGAGTTTGCTTTGTCCATGCACATGTGTTTAAAGTAAACCATCTGAGTCTTGTTGAAAGTTTTCAGAATTGATGGCAAAAGTGAATTCTGCTGCCTAAGATCTTGTGTCAAAAGGGAGGCTCTTGTGTCCTTGGCCGATAGCTCGCTCATGCACACTAGGCAGAGAGAAGGGACACTGGGGCCGTGTCATCTCTATCCCGGGCTTTTCTGCTCTCAACATTTCAACTTGCAGTGCACCTCTGGCCATGAGAAGCCAAACTTAGCCTATCTTTGAGCATGAGGTGAGAAGGACGAGAAGCCCATTGGTTTTGGGAAGTGTCATCAGTCCTCAAGGGAGATCACTGTTTCTATCACCTGAAATCAAAATTCTTCTCCATCTTGTGTTTCTGTGGATACAGGTTAGAATTTGCATGGTCCCAGGGAGCCAAACATAATGGCTGATAATCACTATGAGAAAGATCTTGGCTCCATAAAAGGAAGAACTTTCTAATGGATAGAGCTCTCTAAAGAAGAACTAGGCTGCCTAATATAGTGGTGAGGTCTCTGTCATTGCAGGTGTGCAAGGCACTCGGCAGAGGATTGCCTGGGTCAAGGTGAGGCCCATGGACCAGCAGCCTCAGCACCACCTAGGAGCTTGTCAGAAATGCAATTCCCACCCCACAGCATCACACTCTCAAGGATGGACCCAGGAATGTGAGGTTTAACAAGCCCTCCATGTGATTCTTACGTGCATGAAAGGTTGAGAAGCACTGCTCGGGGTCACCTCAAAGGTCTGCTCTATCATAGATGATAAATGCCCACGTTTCATCCCTACAAACTACATTAATCTAACCTCCCATGATTTAGAATTTGTAATCCTCTGAGCTGGGTTCTAGGGACATTTGCACTAATAATGAAGACATACTAAGATTTATGGGGTGAGGGATATGTACTGGTGTTACTCAAGAAAACACTGGGAGGTACATATTTTAGCCCATTCCTTCTTATGTGCAAATGATACTGTTCATTATAACTGGATCCAACTGAGTCACGAAAGCAAGCCAGGACCAGCCTGTATTGACACATTAGTGAGAAGACTTGGCTAGAATTATAACTTGAACTCAAAAGTAACAAAATGACCTTTCTACTAAAATATTCCAGAACTCAGGCTTACTTTGAATTGGTCTTTCTCTCTCCTCAACCCCAGCACCTTTGCCACAACACGAGAGGTATGCTGTCTTTTCTCATCCCCCAAATAGCCCAAAGCCTGGCAGTGAAGAGGTTAGAGCTTCATGGCTGGCACTGGCCAGTTCTGTTGTCTTGATTTATCTCCAGGCATGAAGGAGTCCAAAGTTTCTAAAAGTTGAGTCCAACATGGGAACAGAACGGGTGGGAGCCTGGGCCCGCACCTTCCTTCCAGCCCCTCAGGAAGTCGGCAGAGTTTGAAAACCACCAAGGTGGGAGCAGAGCCCTGGCGGGGATGCTGATGAAAGGGACAAAGACAGATGAGGATCATTTATTGAGCAATTTCCATCTGCCAGCCCTGCACTGAGGACCTCTCACTCCACCCCCCAACAGCCCTAGAAACTGGCATGGCCATTACTCTTTGCAGGTGAGGACACTGATGTTTAGGGATCATCATTAACCCGGAGGTCACCCAGTAGGATATGATGGTGCCTGGACTCCAACCCCAGTGGTCTGACCACAAGGCCGTGTGCTTAATCACTCACTCTCCTGTATATTTGAGACCTAGGTTCAAGTCCTAGCCATGCTAAAGATGGCTGTGAAACCCTGTCCCTCTCTAAGCCCCAGTTCCCCCATTTGTACAAGCAGCCTGGAGTAGATGAACCCTGAATCCCTTCCAGCTCCACAGTTGCTAGCTTACTGGGCTTGTAGTGCTAAGGGCCAGTTCAGCCAAGGACTGAGATGGGGGAGGCAGGCAGGCTGACAAGCAGTGGGGTGCACACACTTGCCTGGCTCCCTGGGAGCTAACTCCTGACTCAGACCTCCACCCTTTACCCTGAGGTGGTCAATGGACCAAGGTCACAGAGTGTGTGGTCTGGGGTAACCCCTCCCTTTCCCTGGTTCAGGCTGCACCCCGCTCCCCACCATCCCAGCTGCTGGTGGTGGAGTCACACATCTTCCCAAGCCCAGAGCTTTCACTTGCCAAGACGGGAAGTGTGAACATTTGCAATTCATTTCAGGCCCCTCTCTGGCTGTGCAAGCTTGCTAAGAAAAGCTCGCATCCTGTTCCAGATGCAATCTGGAAGGAATAAGCAACGCTCTTGTTTTTCTCATGAGCCAGTTTATAAAAACAATTAGAGACAGGGAACAAGAATGTCCCGAGTGAAGCCCTTCCCCACGGACTGGGAGACTTGCGCAAATGTGGGCTGTGGTTTCTGTTGACGTGTTTCCACCTGGGGGGCTTCTGGAGTGCACTCCTGCCGCGCCCCTCATTATTCTCCTCCAGGGATGGGGCCCTCTCTGCTCCTTCTCTCTTTAGCATCACTCTCCCTGAAGACAACTCAGGCTCTGCTCCAGCCAAGTGTTAAACTGGGTGGGGTGAGCTCTACGTCTCTGGTATGACTGCAGGGAACTTGATCTCAGGGTGCAATATTAGAAGCCTGTGGTGGCCGGTAGCAGTAGTAAGGCTCAGACATCGTCTTCAGTTCTACGGCTGAAGGAGGCCAGGAGGGCCCTGCTCCTGATACTCAGGAAAGGTGCAGAGACGCTGGACAAGGCTGGCCTTGGGCTTCTGCGCGTCTGTGGCTGTGCTCAGGCACTTCCTTCCGTTGGAAACCCCCTCACTCCACCCCATCTCTACTTGCACCTGTCCTTAGAGATCTAGTCCAGATGCCACCTTCTCCATGGTCTTTGCAGACCCTCTCAGCTGAAAGAATTTCTTCCACTAATGCAGTGTCTTTGACCATGAGGACTCATGGTAAGAAATACCTTCTATACTGAGACAAAGTACACATGAACACATAGATGCTGTAACCGAAACCCAAAGTCCACGAGACAGCTCTTACTTTACTATGTGTGATGCACTTTGTTATCTAGCCTGTTTCGTTATGTTTTAATTGTGGAGACCCCTAAATTGATTTCATGACAGTTTAAAAACCCACAGTTTTTATTTCTATTAAAGTACAACTTGACTACCTAATATGAGATTATCTTCAAGGTAACGTTAAGTTAAAAAAAAAAAGCAAGATATATAATAGTGTCTATAGTTTATTTAGAGGGGGGCACACACATGTGTCTCTGGATAGAGACTCAAGAAACTAATGACATTGGTTGACCTACACCTGTCTGTAATACACATGGACTCTAAAGCAATTGAAGAAGGAATCTGTCTTATTCATGCATCACTATCACACTAGGACACCTGGCACATAGTAGGTGTCCATAAATGTTTAATAAGTTGAAGTGAATTCAAAGAACAGTTAATGAACTTCCCCTGACTTATTCACCTATCCACCCTTGTTCCTTTCTTCTTACCTTCATTCCTTTCCTCATTAATCCTTTAATAAATATTTGCTGAAGACCTACTATGTGCCAGATGCTGGGATAATGGTGGTCCTAGCCTGGTTTTGCTCCGTCCCAGAATTCCTCCAGACCTGGTCTGCATTCTATTGGGGCTCTTCCTTGGGGCAGACACTGTGTCTCCAACATGCTGATAAGAAGTTCCATTTCAAGCTCTTCTCAAGAGATTTCATCTCCACTGGTTGCTGGTCCCCTGCCACTATCTGTACTTTCAGTGGCATGACCAAGGACTCTAAGAGTCCCTGAAAGAACCCTGATGCACCCCACTTTCCCAAATCATTGCCTAATGAAACTTCTCACAAATTCATGCATGCCTGATTATGGTAAAATGTGACCCCCCACCCCCACCCCAATGAATCCATGCCCATGTGGAATTCCCTCCCACATTGACTCTGTGCTTTATCAAAAGACTTATCTTGGCCACTGGGACAATAGCAAGCATGACACAAGCAGAGGCTAGAAGAGATACTGGCACACTGGGGCTTGTCTGCTTGAAACATGCTCTTGTAACTCAGCCGCCATGATGTGAGAAGCCCAAGCCACATGGAGAGGCTGTGTGCAAAGAACCCAAAGTGTCCTGGTCCACAACTCCAGTTGCACTCCCAGCCAGGACCCACTGCCATCTGTGTGTGTGCCATCTTGTACATTCCAGCCCAGTCAAGCCCCCAGTTACATAGGCCAGGCAATACCACGGAAGAGCAGAAGAACCACCCAGCTGATCCCAGTCCATCCGCAGAACCAGGAGCGATAATAAAACGGTTGGTATTTGACATCACTACATCTTGGGGTAGTTTGTTACCCAGCAATAGCTAACCAAAACACTGGAAAGAACAGCTCCCAGCTATATCCTGCTTAATACAGCCAGGCTCCATATGGACCTCATAGGGTCCAAATGGGGTGGTTGTTCCCATGAGCATCCGTATAAGAAGCAACAGGGCCAGGACCTAAGTTGACTCCACCCTGAGGGGCTGGCTACAGGGGGCAGTGTCACCTAGGTTCAGAATGCCAACTCCAGCCAGGCCCTCTGAGGTTTTCTAACCCTGTGCTCCTCAATCCAGGACACCTAAACCCTTGGGGGGCACTCAGCACTGTGTCAGAGGAAGCACAAAGCCCCCGGAGAGATCTAAATATCTCCTGGAGCACTCTCTTTTATTCAAAAATTCAGAGGATGGGGATGATTGATAAAGCGATGGTTATAGTCCAAAGTAGGAGGCAACATGTACATGAAGTTTGAAGCCAGAATTCAAGATGTATCAAACACATGTCAACAGGTTGCTTTAGGCGTTTTCCTTAGGCCCTTGGGCGTCCCCAATCCCCAGGTCCCTGAGAGGAGCTTCGGTAGAAAAGCGTAGGGACCCCTGACCCACTTGCACCCCCCACCCAACTGTTGGAGCCTCTGGGCTTTGGGAAGGAAAGGGACTTGTCCAAGGTCTCCCAGTGACCCAGTGGCAGAGCTGGGCGCAAACCCAGGCTTTGCGCGTCCAGTTCCACCTTTTATTTTCAATAACTAATAATTACAACTAGAAAAAAAACATAATTTTTTGAGGCCAACCTCCCAACTGAAAGAGAAACAAAGATATTACCTTTCCTGATGTCTTCACGCCTTTCCAGAGGCTAAAAAACAGGATGACGACGACGAGCATCAGACAGAGCAGGAGCTGCCACTGGGGCAGGCCGATGTCATGGATGCCACTGCTCTCGTGAAGATGCAGGACGCCGCGCCTGCCAGGAGGAGAAGGGAAGGGGACCAGGGAAGACGCCACCAGTCAGGGAGAACGACCATGACCTTGACCGCAGGCCAGTCCCCGAAGGTGCACAGTGTTGGAGACGGGCCCCCGGCTGCCCAGCCACGGCCCTGCATCATTTAGGCCTGCTCTGTGCCCAGGACAGCCCTGCCCCGGGCCAGCAAATCATCTGGGGAGACTCCCGCTCAAGGCTGCTTTTTAAACAGGGACAAAAATCTCTTGAGTGCCGCCTGCAAGCCCGGTCCTGGGGAGAGGCTGGTACATAACCGGAAAGATCTGTGCCCTCACAGTCTAGAGTAGCGATTCTCCAGGGGGTGGTGGGGCAATTCTGTCCCCCAGGGGACGTGGCAACAGGTGGCAATGTCTTCCGTTGTCACAACTTGGGGAAGGGGTGGCGTTAGTGACACCTAGAGAACAGAGACATCCTACAATGCACAGAACAGCCTGAACCTCCTACAATGCACAGAACAGCTTCTGACAACAAAGAATTATCCAGTTCAAAATTCCCACATTGCTTTTTTGAATCTCTGTCCAGAGACTGAGCGAGAAAAGAGTAAGCGTTTCTCCTATTTGGGAATGTCTAATAGTCTAATAAGCTAAAGGTAGGTACACCGTATGCCCTAGCAATTCCACTCCTGAGTATTTACCCAATAGAAACATGTCCATAAGTCCACCAAAAGAAACGTTTGAGCATGACTATAACAGCATTACTGAGAATAACCCCAAACTGCGAAATAGTCAAATATCCATCAACAGTAGAATGGATATAGAAATTATGATGTGTGCATAAAATTGAATATTATTCAGCAATATGCTCTATGTGGCTGAGTCTCTCACATAATTCTATGACAAAGTCAAAACCAAAAGAATTCTTTCTGTCTGATTCTAGTCACATAAAGTACAACAGGCAAAACGAACCTAAGTTAGAAGTCAGGATGGGTGTACCGTGGGGTGGGGATGTGGGTCTGGCTGACAGGGGACACAGTGGGGACTTTGGAGACATGAGTCAGTTGTTGACTTAAGAAACGTCCAGAACTAGAGAATTTTTATGAGTTTATTTGAACCAAAATGATGACAATTGCCGGGAAGCAAAATCTCAACGGACTGAGAAAACGCTCCGGAGAATGGCAGTTTTGCAGCTTTTTTTTTACACATTAGAGTGAAAGGAGAAGACACAAGGAGGGTTACGTGAAATCCATTAGTGGGAGATTAAGGAGGCGGGAGAAAGCAAAGCGGGGAAATCTCTGGGATTCAACAAAAAGTAAAACGGAGAGACACACACTTCTCCTACACCAGTGGGTGCGGGATAGTTAATAATTAAGGGCACATGGAGATGGTATTCGGGGAACAAGATATTAATGAGCAGTTCTGTGGTCTCTGCTCTGGTGCCTGCGGTTGTGCCCTGAGGGGTCTGGCAAAGGAGATGACACTGACATTTCAAAGGTATGTTATCTTACAGGCAAAAAGACAACCAACAGGCTCACTTATGCCAAAGGTTGACCTTTGTCAAGAAAGCTACAGGCATAGATATGTATGATATTGGGGGGAAATGGGGCAGTGGATTGGGGGAGGAGGGTTGTCACTTTGAGGGGTTAAAAGTATAACTATTGCACTATGTTGTACAGCTGAAACTAATTCTAAAAAATGTGTATTTCATAATAAAAAATAATTTAATAAAAAAAAAAAAAGAAAGCTACAGGCTTAGGACATGACTACCCGCCATGACCTGCTGTTTCAGTTAGGAATTTTGATGTTCAGACCATTTTATGTGGTTACTTTCGGTCTCTGAGTTTGTAGGGCCTGCCATGCAGGCCTCTGTGAGATTATCAAGTTTAGTACGTGGCCACTTTTTTGTCCACACAGTTGTTTCTTGACCTGCGTGCTGCTTACATGGCTGTGTTCAGTGTGTGGCAGTCTTGAGCTGTCACTTAATGACAGTCACTTCTCTGTAATATGTTATCCTCCAGAAAAAACTAAAAGAATAAATATCCGTGAGGCTTAAGACTATCAGGTCCCTCGTACAAGCTACACTGAAGGATGGTAAATGGATTGGCAAACAAAATGACCAACTGCCCATTAGAATCTAGCCAAAGCCTTGTTAGCATCTAACCAAGGTCAAATAAGACCGACTCATAGAATAGTAGGCCAGGACCCAAGGCCAGAACCCAAGGGAGGAGTTTCCCCACCACAATTCTACACCTTTTAAAAATAAAAAAAGCAGAACTGTTCCAATGGAAGAGGGAACAGCTTGGTATGGTATCGCCTCTGCGTCCAAATCAGTCATTCCTCACTGGTGCCTGCTGTGAGCTGACCCAGTCTGGGCTTCAGACCACAGTGGGGAGCTGCTCATACACAGAGCCTGCCTTGGGGGGGTTTCTATTCCAGCACTGGAGGCAGCACTGAACCCACAATTACAATCAAGGGAGACAAGTGTTGGGAAGGGGCTGAGGGAGCTTCAAGGGCATCCAAAGTGGTCTCTGCCTCCTCTGCACCTCACACTCAGAGGCTGTAGTAGCTGCAACCTTCCAGACACGCTTCCAGGCCCATCTCCAATGTCACCTCCTCTGGGAGGCCTCCATGATCACCCCGATAGGAATCTTTCAACCCTTTCAGTTCTGTGGCTCTTGGCTCATTTCCCAAACAAAGCCTGCGCCTCCGGCTTTAGGGCTGGCTGTGTACAGGGCTGTCCCAGGATGAGGAGGTGGACTAACCATCTCTGGGCCCCCAGCGCTAAGCCCGGCCTGGCAGGCAGGCCTGTTAGCTCAGGGAGGATGGTTGGGTCAGGAACAAAGGCTCACACCCTTTCCTGCTAACCCCAATAATCTAACTTCTAGAAAAAATGGGACCCAGGACCAGCCCAAGGGGAACTGAGAAGGAAAGAGGGTCAGTGTCTCCCACATTCTCACTTCTTCTCTTAGCAACTCCTCCCTGACTTGTCGTAAATTCCTAACCCTTCTGTCCAGTTGTCTCACACAGCCCAGGGCAACCATGCATTTCCCCTGTAGGAGCGTTACTTCCCTGTGTCACATTCTACAGGGCTTGCTCTCAGCCAGGGGTCCAATCAGAAAGCAGCATGTTAATCAATTCAGACTTAGCGTTGAAGGCAAAAAGTAGCTTAATATATTGTCTGTCTTTGGAGTGGTGCCTTAATCCAAAAGAAAGACACATTTATGGTAAAAAATTTATACAAATGCAGTAGATAAGCTAGAAGATAGCCAATTCTCTCTCTCTCTCCTCTCTCTCCCTCTCTTTCTCTCTCTCTCTCTCTCTCTCTCTCTCTCTCTCTCTCTCTCTCTCTCGCTCTCTCTCTCTCTTTCTTTCTCTCTCGCTTTTCTCTCTCACTTTGTCTCTCTCCCCCTGTCCCTTATACCTCCCTTCTCTTTTCCTCTCCTTCCTCTTTACCTACCTCCCCAAAGAGAAATACGAGGTCAAAAGAATGTAATTTTGAGGCTTATTGACAAGAACAGAGTTCTCAACCTGCACATTAGAATCAACTGAAGATCCTTTAAAAATTACGGACATCTGGGCCCTGCTGTCGATCCTTTAAAAATTACGGACATCTGGGCCCTGCTGTCAGCCAATGAAATTAGAACCCTTGAGGAATGGGGCCTGAGTGCCCGTGCTTCTTAAATTCCCCAGGTGCTCTTTCTGGGCAGCCAAAGCTGACTGAGGCCCACCGTACTAGAGGCCCGCTCAAAGGACGGGTTTTCTTTAGAGCAAACTTAAGCCTTCTGGAAACTGTCTTTACTTCCCTGGCAAAATAAAATTGGCTATCTAAAGAAAAATAAGGCTCAAAGAGGCTCATAAAAAGTGAGCTGGAAATGTTTTGGAAGGCTGGGTGTCCAATGTGCCCCCCAGAGTCGGAGGCAGGTGGCTGTCCTCGCTGGGAGCCGTGCATCAGACACGGGAAGATCCTAGACCTGTGAGGAGCAGCTGTACCGAATCAGGAAGCTTGGTCAGCTTATCTTTGGGCGGGAGTTAAAATGTTTTTCCCAGAGATGAAGAGCTGGAGGCCACCACTGATGCTGTCTATGTTTCCTTCACTCATTCATTCATTACGTCATTCATTCAAAATCGGCGTCTATTATTTGCAGGAATAGAAGAATGGGGCGCAGATATTATTCTGACTCTGGGGTCTAACAGGCCCAGGCTCCCCTCTTGGACCTGCCGCCAGCTACGGTGTGGCCTGGGTTCTTTCACTGATTCCATAAACTCTTTCTGCACATCTGCTGTGAGCCAGGCAGTGTGCTGGGGGCTGGTGACAGGGCTGTGGACAAGTGGGTGATGGCGCAAAGATTCCCGTGGTGAGCCGTTTTCCTCTTCAGTAAAATGGCTCTCCCATGAGGATGACATCAGAATGGGAGACCATGCCAACAACCCAGGAAATGCTCAGCAAATGGTAGCTGTAACTTTCAGGACTGAGTCCCAGCTTGCTGGAGCAGCAGGCATCTGCCAAGGAACTAAGGAACCCCAGAAAACTCCGTCGAGGGAGTCAGTGGACTGGCTCCACTGAGGAGGGGGCTGGTGCCTTCTGTGCCAGTCTGTGGGAGAACAGGTATGGCAGAGAGAAAGCTGGGGCGAGGGAGTGTGGGCAGGCATACAAGTCTGCAAGTGAGCATGCGTGAATGGATGAGCAGCGCTGTGTCGGTGACCAAGTCCCAGGAAGACCCCCGTCCCTCCTCCCCAGATGGCCCTCCTGCCAACAGCCCCCAAGCTGGATGTTGTGGCTTTAAACGACTCACCTCCAACATGAAACTATCTACCCAAAGTGATAAAACTCTCGAGGTTGTGAAATCCTGCTCTAAAGGATAAAAACGTTAAGCCTCTCAGAATCCCAGGCCTTTCATAATCATCCCAGGCCAAATGTGTCCCCTGACTCATCACGCCCTGCCTTTGGCTCCTGGCAATGGCCAGACACTTGTCATTCCCTTATCATATAAAGTTCTCATCACTCTTGGCCTTGGAACTTTCTGTCCCTTTCGGCCCAGAACACACTTCCTGGCCCAATTTGTCTGCCTGGCAAACTTCTCATCCTGCTAGTCTCGACTCCTAACTTAGGCTCCTTTCCTATGCCCTTGGAGTGGGAGAAAGAGACAAATGAGAAGTGGGGGGGGCGGAGAGGAAGGGAGAGAAGGGAAGAGGGTGGAGGGCAGGGGCGGGCGGTGGAGGTAGGGGCGGAGCCTATCTAAAAAGACAGCACGCTGGAATCAGGCACTGAACCCATCTGATTCTTAGTTCTGCTTCTTCCCATTGCTTTACGGGTCAAGTGTTGAACGGCATCGATGACCATTTGTTCAATGTGACAGTTAAAATTGTGACGAGAAGGCACTAAGCCAACCGTTCTTGCCCTGAAACGTACTAAAACCCCTCTAGAGGTCAATCGGATGACTGAAATGCCCCAGGAGACACCACATGCAGGTGAACCCACTTTCAGGGTTGCAGTCGCGATATCTCATGGGTGAAAAGGCCAGGCTCCCGATGTGCTTCCCACCAAGAGGAACGCGAACCCAGCCTCCTCTCCCCAGCAGCCCCAAGCCCTGGGGGTTAGCACACGCAGCTTGGGTTTGTTGGCGTTTTCCAGCAGCTTCCTAAAAATGAATCATCGTGGAGTATTCGTACGGTCCAGGCTTTCTGATGTCTGCGCGCCAAAAGGGCTCACTCTCTCCCTTGACATTTACGTGCAGGGTGCTGGTGGCAGAGGAAGAGTCCTCTTCCCCGCCAGGAACAGGCAGGGGGTAGCCGCTCTCTGTGGCCGGCGCTTGGTCGCCAAGATACCCTTTTACAGATAAAGTTACGGAGCGTCAGGCCTCGTCTTAGCCGCTGGCTGTTTGGCGCCAGGCCCAGAGCCTGCAGAGAAGAGTGGTTTTGTTCCCTTGAATGGTATGTTTAATCCATCAGCTTAAATGAGTACAAGATGGCAACAGAACTGCAGGCTCTGAGGAAAGACAAACAACTAAGCTCCTCAGGGTTGGCATAGGAGGAGGCCTGCTTGCTGGGTCCCCAGAAAGAGATAGGAATGACTATTTTAAAGTAGAACTATTTGGTTAAAAGGGCCATGTGCCGTTAAAAGAAAAAATCTAGAGGCAGCTCATGACTTAGTGACTTAGAAGCTCACAAAAGCAGGTGAGAAAGAGATGCAAAGATGGGCTCCTTTCTACCTGCAGACACTCCTGCACGCCTATCCAAATACACCCCCTTGGAGTCTCTGATGAGATGAGGAGAAAGACAGCAGAGGGGCCTGGGAATGGGGTGAGAGCCTTGATCTGCCACTGAACCTAAAACCTGAGCCTCTGCATTCTTAACTGTAAAATGGGGATACTTCTCACCAACATGAACTGTGAAGACTACATGGGACTTGGATGTGAACGGGTCTTTGGTGCCTGGCTCATGGCAGCTATGAAGCTGCGGGGGGGAGGAGGGCTTAACAGGGAAAGAGAGAGAACAGGAGGAGAGGGGAGCTGCGTAGCGCAGAAAGCCACTAAAATAAGCCTTGGCTCCTGCTCCCCGCGATGTCCCCAGCTTCCTCAGCCCCCACGCCTAAGAACGCCGTCTTTGTCCAACAAAGTCTGCTCACAGCTCAGCCGGGAGGATGTTTAGGGCTATAATTAAAGTAACCAGCGTCTCAAAACCCAGCTCACCTCTCGGGTCTGCTGTATGTCTCTGCTGGGGCAGATCTGCTGGCCTTTAAGACATCAGAGAAGGAATCAAAGGACTCAAATAATATCTAGACTGGAGGTGAGGTTATCATTTTCCATTTTTCATTTGTAAGGACAGGGGTTTCCAAGAGCAAAAAGAAAACTCAGGCTCTTTGCTTTCCCGTGAGATGACAAAGGAGAAAGCCTGGAACCGATTACACGTATGAGTGGTACCCTCTGCCTCACTATCTTCAGAAACTAGGAAGTCCTGAAACCTGCACCCACAAGCTCTGTAAAGTTTCTGGGATTTGCTGAGGCAATGCTCCTCTAGAAGAGTGAAGGAGGCTCTAGATTTCCACGACACTGTAGGGATGTGAGTCTGACCCCAGCAAGAGCCTCAATCTACCTGACACGGGAGAGTGCAGTGGCCAAGTCCAGAATTCTCAATCTTGGCTGATTATCAGAATCACAGAGGAGCTATTAATAAAAGTCCCTGTGTCCTGGCTGCACTCTGACATCAGCATCTCTGGGTGTAGCGGCCAGGCATCAACCTGTCTAAAAGCCCTCCAGGTGGCACCACCTGGGTTTAGCATCACTGGGCTTAGAGTGTGGGCTTTTGAGCCAGACTGCCTGGGCTCAAACCCTCTTTAAATGCTACATCTATACTGTGTGACCTTGGACGAGTCACTTACTGCTCGGGCCTATTTCCTCATTCATAAAATAACAATAATTTTAGACCACAGTGGTCAGGATTAAAAGCTAGCAGAGACACTTTGCACAATGGCTGGGACCTAAGCTAAGCCGAATATATGTTAGCTGTGACTATGACAATATTTCTGATTAACAGCCACGAAGGTTCGAATCCAATGTAACAGAGAGGTTAAGAGTGCAGGCTCCAAGGTTTCACTGCCTGGAAAGGCTGAGGTTAGGATGAGGAGCATAAGCTCCCTGGAGCACAGAATATGGAGATGCTCACACTCCTACAAGGGCCAGCTGCCTGGGCCCCAATCATGGTTCTGCACAGTACAGCCATGTGGCGATAGGCCAATGATTTACTGTCTCATCCCCAAAATGTAGTTCCTATTTGCAGCCTCCTGGCGTGTGCAATGAGGGTAAGAGTCATAGAAACCTCATCAGGTTGGGGTGAGGCGTCCATGGAAATAATATGCACAAGGAAGTTGGCAGACAGCCTGGCACACATGGTAAGTGATTAGCTGTTCGTGTGATAGTGAGGAAACCAGGAATGATGCTGTGACTTAAAAAGATGCTCGCTTCAAGTGACAGCAGGGCCTCAGGTCCTTTGGGGACTATAGCTGTATTTAGAATTCCGTGACAGCTATGGAACCTCTGCCAGCAAATTCCCACCCCCAACCCCCAAACACACCTGTGCACATGCCCACTGGAGGCCACAGGAAACATAGATGGAAGCAGGTGGACACACAGGTCCAGGACCCTTAGCAAATCCTCTGTGAGGCCTTATTGGGTCTCAAGAACCCTAAGTTCCCTGAACCCCAGGAGGCCGCAGACTTTCCAGGAGCCACTTTAACCAAGCCGAATCTCCTTGGCCCTGCTACACCAAGATAGCAGGGATGGAAATGGTCCTAAGCCACCCTCCCATCTTTGGGTAATCAGGACTCATTCCCGGGTCTTTGGCTTAGGGAACACACAGGACTGAAGATACTGACCCTGAAGCTTGTGAATTTGTCTTTTCTCATTCCCTAGATCCACATTATCCAATATGGCAGTCACTGGCCACCGGTAGCTATTTAAAGGTAAGCTAATGAAAATGAAATAAAATTAGAAATTCAACTCCTCGGTCACACTGGCCTCATTTCAGCTGCTCCATAACCATGTGTGGTGAGTGGCTGCTGCATTGGACACCGCAGATATAAACCTTTCTATCATCGCAGGAAGTTTTACTGGGCAGCACTGCTCTGGACCAGGAGGCAGCAAACCACGGCCCCAAGGCCGTACATGGGACAACTAAATGCCACTTGGGACTCTAAGCTGGACCCTGGACCAGAAAAGGACATTATTGGGAAAAGTGATGAATTCAAAAAACCTCTTCAGTAGGTTAGTTCATAGTATGCCAGCATTAGTTTTCTGACTCACTCACTGCACTATGGTTTCTAAGGTGTCAGCATTAGGGGAGGCTGGGTGAAGGGGACGCAGGCGCTCTGTGGACTATTTGTGCAACTTCTCTGCATCTAAAATTATTTCAACATAAACAGTGACTTTTTAAAATGATGTTTCATCTTCCGCCACCGGTCAGTGCCTCTCATAGTCCAAATGTTGGGTTGTCAGAAAAGCCATGACGCATTTTTGCAACGAAAAACATAGAAAAAAAATATGTCATGACTTTTCCGACAACCCAATAATTTCCCTGCACTCACTCACAGCAATTTTCCCCCGTGGGAGTCCCAGGAAGAGCAGTGCTGGGTGGGCCAGGCCACAAGCAGGATCAGATTGACTTGGGATCAAGCTGCAGCTCTGTCACCTGCCGGTCGAGCCCCAAATGTTCCCCTGGCTGAGTTTATCAGGTCTCAGGACACCTCCTCACAGAGGCCCTCCCTGACCGTGCCCTCTCCACGCCCCCACAATCACTTCCTGCCACATACCTGGTTTTAGTTCCTTAAGGACAATTACACTCCCTAAAGTGTGTTTTATTGCCACTCTCTAAAAAGTTCTTGCTTCCTTACCCCACCCCCACGCTCCTGAGCTAGAACACAAGCTCCCCCAGCAGCTTTGTCCAGGGTCTGGCCTGTGGCAGCTGCTCAGTATCCCTTACAAACAATGACTGGCGTGTCCCCTTTCTCTCTCGTGGTTCTCCTTAGCTTTGGGTTCAGGTCCTCCCAGCACAAGTCTCAGTGCGCCCATGTGAACAGGATGAGGGGTCAATGGCTTACTCATAAAACTCCGCTGCCGGCGTGAACTTGTACTTGGAGTACTTGGTGTGGTTTCCCAGCACGGAGGCATTAAGGAGCTTGGGGTCAGTGCAGTTGGGGCTGTTCCAGGCGTGGCCACAGTCGGTCCAGGGCAGGTTGAAGGTGAAAGAGGAGAAGAGGTAGTACAGCGACCAGGCGATGATGACATTGTAGTAGAAGCCGACGTACAGGGCGATGAGGATGACAGCGTAGCCAACGCCTGGGTGGGGGCAGAGGGGTCAGGCAGGGGCTCCCCCAGGCCACCCGGAGCCAGCTCTGCGGGGGAGCTGGCTCCAACCTCCACACTACCCGACCCCTATGCCTCTCCTTTTCTGTAGCAGATTGTCAGAGCCCCACCCAGATCCCCTGCTGCCTACTCACTGGGCAGGCCAGGTGTGCCAGGACTGTAATGCTCCCAGGGAGCAGCTGGGTCAGGCATTGGAGCAGAGGTATCCCAGCTCCCTTGGACCCTGAGCAGGATAACCCTGAGGCGTGTTAACACTCTGTCCCGGAAGGAAGGAGCCCCGGGCCCACAGTGGAACTTGCTTATTCCTCTCCTTCCCCAGCCCCTGTTGGTGCCTCCTGGGATCACCTCCCCAAATAACTTCTTACGCTGCAATCCTTCTCTCAGAACCTGTTTCTGGGGAACCCCAAACAAGCACCCCCTGATCAGAACTTCAGCCCTTTGTGTTTTCTGGGTCCTATTCTCAACCACCTGCTTTGTGTGCCAATCTCCTCGTCCTGAATGTATCAGGAGCTCCTTGAGAGCTAGTTCTAACGCTCTGCCTACTTAGCATGGCTTTAAAGGCGTAGCCTCAAGTATTCTTAGCCTGTAAGGTTTGGATCAGGCTAATCCCTCACTTCCTTGACCTAGCTGTAAGCACATGACTCAGGCTTGGCCAATCAGACGTCTGCTTCCCCATAGACACAGTGATTGGTTGATAGATGAGTCTATGACTCAAGTCACACCAATGAGAGTCCTTTCTGGGACTTTTAATGAAACTATGATGATATAAGGCATTTGGGGTTATTTTGTCATTGTTAAACTTGGTAGGATTTAATCTTGTTGCTGATGGCCAGCTCTGCTAGCATCTGAGAAGAAAGCCTGAGACTGATGCTAATACTGATGAAAACAGACTTGAGAAAGATTCCAGATAAAATTATTCAAGAACCTAGATCAAGCTGTATTGTATCATAAGCCAATACATTCTATTTTATACTCAAGCCACTTTGAGTGGGGTTCCTGGAAATTAAACAAAAAATTCCTAACTATACACATGTCTTATAACCCTCATATATCAACCTGTATCTACTCCAGGACTGAGTACATAGGAGGTACTCAGGAGACATATGCCAGCTGAGAAGTGGCTCGTAGGAGTCATGCTGGTGCTCAGTGCCATTTGGGCCAGTTCTCTAAATGGTGCTTGGGAGACACTAATTCCCTTCTCACGGCTGTACAGGGGCCAAGAAATGGCAGTTGCTATGGCCACTTTCTCCAGATGTGCCTTAAGTCCTGAATGCAAGCTTCATCTCATATTCCATCTGTGATCAAATAAGTGTGGCTGTTGTATTAAGGATTGTGAGGCAGCTTTCTGGCTGAGCCCAAAAAGTTCTGCGATCAATTTATCATGTCTGCTATGGGAGCAGGAGGGAGGAGTAGTGATATGTATGCTAGGTACTTCTGACATGTAAGTATTTCCCATACAGGAAGCAGATACCCTCTGATCACTTAGCTGTGGAGCCTGTAGTGGAACCCAGGTGTCCAGATTTTCTAAGCTAGTTATTTCTGAAACACCAAAGACTCTCCGTGTAACTCCGAATGGGGGACACACGTGACCTTGTCAATACCTGTGAATCCAACAAGATAGTTGGTCTACCCCAGATCCCACCTTTGGAGCAGATTCAAACAACCTCTGACTCCCCCAGACAGACCCATTCTTTACCTTTGAAGAGTGGGCAGATCTTCCACACCGTGGCCGCCCCTTCCCGGTTGTACTGGCCCAGAGCCAGCTCCATGTAAAACAGAGGCATCCCAGCAATGATGAGGAACAGTGTGTACGGGATCAGGAAGGCACCTGGGGGACACAGAGGCAGAGCGTGAGCCCCTAGAACCCGTGCAGCCTGGGCCTGTCCGCAAAGGGCCTGGAACCGTGTCGGCCAGAGCGCAGGCGCCCTCGCTCCTTGGCTGGCCCCGCCACTTCCCAAGGAGTGTCGTGTGGCAGGTAAACCGAGTTACCCAGAACGGTTAGTACAAATAACCACAACAGTAATAATAACAGTTGGAGTAGTGGTAATAATTGTCATAACGAAGTTCTGTACTCAAATTAGTAAAGCCTGGGTTAATCAAAGCTACCTAGGCATGTTTTTTGCAGGGTTCGCCTAGCCTTCAGCACCCCCCCCCCGGGAAGCGACATGACAAGGAACATAGGTGCAGCCTGTACCTCATTTACTCAAGTACAGAAACTTTTCTTCCACGAATCATCACTCTGAGGAGTGCCAATTGCCCCAAACCCTTCCTTTAAAAGGTAAGAAAATTGAGACCAGAGAGGGAGAGACAGTACCCAAAGTGACATATGATTGAGTTTCTCATTTTGCTCATATCTGCATCATTTTAAGGTCACGTGGGGCTTTCCCAAACACAGGCTCACTGGATTCTTCTTGGCAGCTCACAGTCATAATCAGACTGGGTCATTAGATCTCCCCCTCCCCTGGGGAAACTGAGGGCCGAGAAGGGAGTTGCACAGGTGCTGTTTGCACTGCTCATAAGTGACAGAAGCAGGATTTAAATTCAGGCAGCTGAAGGTAAACAGACAACAGTGAAAATGCCTGCCCAGATCATCGCAGAAACCAGAGGGTCCCTTGGCAATGGGCAGCAGCTGATCCCTGGGAGAATTCCTGGTGGAATTAGACATGTCTGAGTCCCAGAGACAATTCTCAGTGTGCCCTGCAGTCTGCGGTGAACTGAGCAGGCTCTGGCGCTGTGAGGTGACTCACTGGGATTCATGCCCCCATCCGCCCAGGTTGTGAGGCTGACCAAAGTAAAATGCCAGCTCCTTTCCCTGATGTGGCTGGAGGTGGCCAGGCCAGATGCAGAGTCCCACCATTGGCCTTTGGCTGGGTTGCTGTAACCTGGGAAACCAAACACTCTCTGCCCCGCCCACACCAGGAAAGTGCAGAAATTGGGAAATATTTAAGGATGGTAACATTAGAAATAGAATGCCCCATAATGTGTTCCAGACACTTTCCATGCAATGTCTCATTCAGTCTTCATAAAAACCCTAACATGCAAAGATTATTACTACCTCCATTTTATAAATGTGGAAACTCAGGCACCAAGCTAGCAGTGAACTGTGGCCGTCACACGACACCCAGGGTCAAACTCACCCAGCTCCTCAGACTATCCGTTCTCCACTTCCTTCCCAGGAAGCCCAGGGCTTTTAGGGACAAAGCATGAAGCGTTTTCCCCAGTGGTCTGAGACCCAGTCCCTTCTGTAGCAGGAGGAGATGGACCAGCAGGGTGGGCAGTAGGAAAGCAACTATTGGGGAGGTGAGTACCTCCTATGTATCAAACAGAGCACTGGGCACTGGACATCTGTGATCCCACTGACCATTCCCAGAAATTGTCTGGGGTAGCAACTGCTATACCCATTTTTCAGAGGAGGAAACTGAGGCGTGGAGAAAGTAAGTGACTTGACCAAGCTCACCCAGCTGGTACGTGATGGATCTGGGATTAGGTCTGCCTGCCTCCAGAGCTTCAGAGCCATTCTCAATATATTCTGTAGATTCCAGAACATTCCAGCCTAGGTGAAGGACAGAGTCTGGGGAAGGGTGTTCTGAAACTGGCGATCTGGTGGCAGATAAGCCATCCAGGCTGCTGTTGGTCAGAAGAGGCTGGTCCGACACTCCAGCGCCTGCTCCAGGCTGAGCCTCTTTGAAACAGCCACAAGCCAACCTCTCTCTCCCCTCCTCGTTTCTTGCTTTCAGTCTCTACCTTTGTCCAGTTCCCACACAGACAGGGCAGGCCTGCACCCATGTCTGTCTACACTGCTGACAGCAATGGTGGTGGGGATGGTGGGTTGGTGAAAGTAACAAGGACCATCTATCTATTGAGCATCTGTTATATGCCAAGCCACACACTAAGTTTTTACATAATTATTCATCTAGAAAGGATGCCGCTTGGCTTCCACCCTGCATCTGTCTGAACCCCGCTCTGCCTTGTGGCCACCTGTTTCTCCCCTTGGGAGCCTGGAGCCACAAAGTAGGGGAAATAGACATATGAAACTGTTTAATAGGCCTGAAGACGGAAGTTGGTGGCCCAAGGGACTATGGGGAAGGCCAAAGCCGGGAGTCACGGCTCAGGTCTTGGCCGTGGTTTGCCGCTGCCGATCTGATGTTCTTTTCCACAAGAAGGGAAAGAGCAACATCAGACAATTAAACCAGCATCTCACGTTGGCCCGTCTTCTCAGCCCCAACACTCTGGGTGGCACCGCCAACAGGTTGGTGAATTGCCCCGTTTGGAATCCGTCTCCTCTTGTGCTGTCTGGGTCTCCAAGCCAAAGGAAGGGAGGAGGGAGGTGACGGGTCCGCACAAGCCAGAGGCCCTGCTCTATGAGAGCGTGTGATGTGGGCCAGCCCAGGCTTCAGGTGGAAACAGGCTGAGAACGTGCCAGAATGTTGAAACGGCTAAATATGAGGCCCTGCTCTATGAGAGCGTGTGATGTGGGCCAGCCCAGGCTTCAGGTGGAAACAGGCTGAGAACGTGCCAGAATGTTGAAACGGCTAAATATGAATGAAAACCAGCAAGCTGCCCAGCGGCCAGTGCCTTCTTCTAAAAGAGGGCATCGCCAGGAGAGCTGGCCCAAGCCCCTGTGCAGAAAGGTCTGGAGGAAGCCAGGGCAGAGCTGAAGGGTCAGAAAGGGGTTCGTTCCAGTAAAAGGCAAAAAATGCAGTAAATGTGTAACCACTATGCCTTACACCTGAAACTAATATAATATTGAATGTCAGCTGGAACCGAAAAAATTTCTTTTTAATTCAATAAAAAAAAAAAAGAAAGGCGTTTCAAGGCTGACTGAGGTCAGCTGAGGACGCCCCCCTTGGAAACAGCCCTGAAGCAGCTCCTGAGAAACCGAGGCTGGCTCGCACACTTCCTAGAAGTGACTGCCCTGGCGGGCCTGTAGTGTCACATGCCCACAGCCCTGCTACATCCCCATGTGTGGTGGTGCCAGCTGCAACCGGCCTCACACGGGGCCTGAGCGCAGCGAGCTTCAGCTCAGGGGCCACAAAGCCCAGAATCCTGGCTCTGGAATGTTCTGGCTGTGCAGGTGCTGGGTGACAGGGGCAGACCTAGAGCAATGCAGGCAGAGCACACCTCCCAGGGGTCTCAGCTCCCAGGAGTCTGCAGCACACAGACATGTACACAAGTGCCCACCGCACATGCTCATGCAAAGGCGCACGTACACGTCTGCACACCAAGACACTCACACAAACGCACAAGAAAAAACACTGCCAACTGTGAGAGGAACTCCGACCAGTGGCCTTTGGATGAATTTAGCAAGGAAAGCATCTATCACCTCTAGCCCAACACACACCGCCTGACACCCCACCATTAGAGGGGAGCCCTGCTGTCGCAGAGGGGTTCTGGAATCCTTGGTGCCCATGCCAAGTCCTCAGGAAGGGAAGCCGAGTGGTTGCCAAGTTCTGGGTGGCATGTGCTGGATCAGAGCCTGGGTGGGTAAAGGAGGACCCCAGGAAGCGGGAGGGAATGGCCCAGGCCTGGTGGGGAACTGAGGGTAGGAGGTGGGGGTGTGGCCAGGGAGAGGCTGCAGGGAGGAGAGGAGGGGCCCCGAAACCTAGCTGGACCAGCTTCCCAATTGAGGGCAGGGTTCTGCAAACACCCGGATGTATTAAGAAGCAAAGCCCCACAGTGCCCAGAGCTCAGCTTATGGGTTGTCACTGGCCGCAGCTTTCACCAGAGTCCCAAGAAAGCCTTGGTCAGTGCCTAGGGTAGCTGGATTTGTCCCTCCTCCCCGAACATCCCAAGCACACAGTGAACATCAGGTGCAGGAAAGGATGAGGTTCTAACAGGAGACAGTGCCGCTCCCAGAGGCCGACCCAGACACGAGCTGGGCCAGGGGCAAAGGCTCACTGCACTGTCTACACATTTAAAGGTGACAAATCAGCCTGAAGCTGCCAACTCAAACACGTCCTATCTTCCTGCCTTGATAACTAGACCTTTGGAATGGTTCCGGGGTGAAGTCCAAGTTTGGGACCCTCAGCTCTGGGCTGGAATATGATGGCACGGGGGAGCCCCGCTGGCCCCGCACCCTCTTTCTTCTTCCCCACCTCAGCTCCATCCAGACGTGTGTGAGGCCTCTTGCACATACATGTGGACTGTTGTGCCCGTAAGTCTAAGCTCTGTTCACAGCCTCTGCAGATAATGGGCCCCTGGTCTCCCCTTTGGGCCTGAGGCTGTGCCAGCTTATAGCACAGTCGATGTTACGGAATAAGGAACCGGGTGAAATGTGCCTGCAGTCCTGGGGTGGTTGGGGTGGCTTGTGCAGGGAAGTCCCGAGTCCCATTACCTGGAGTGTGGTGGGGGGTGCGAGGCCCTCTGGCCCCGACCCCGATGAGAAGGGGAGGAGGGCAGAACAGGGCCCTCTAAAGCACAGGGCCCAGGGCAGACCCTCTGTGACATAATATATACGGTCTCTGATCTGGGTTCCTGACACTGAGCTCCTAAATCCCTTGGAATTTTCTGGGTGATAGGACTGTCTTTTGTTCTAGTGCAGTGACTCTTGGTGGGTTCCTGGATGGAGGCAGGTCACCCAAAAGACCAAGCCGTGATGAGAAGTTTGAAACTTTCAGCCCCACCTCTTATCCTCCAGGGAGGGGAGAGCGGCTGGAGACTGAGTTAATACTGGCCATGCCTGTGTGATGACACTGTCATTAAAACCCCGGAGTTTCGGGCTGGTGAATGCACCCACCAGAAGGGTGGCACAACCCAGCTCCATGGGCACAGAAGCTCCTGCCCTTGGGACCCTTCCAGACCTCGCCCTGTGTATCTCTTCCTCTGGCT